GATGAAATAAATAATAGTTTTAATCTTATTAGCCTTGACTATATTTTTGAAGATGATGATCCACTAACAGAATGACTGCAAGAGAAAGAAAATTCTCTATTAGATGGTCAAAACTCTGATTGGTTGCCTGCAGATAATTTTGACAATGAAATGAATGTTGAATGATCACGTTAATCTCAAGAAAGGAATGCGTCTCATTCAAGTTCAAGTCCAACACCAAGTCAGAGTGATGATGGTGGTGGTTTAAGTCCATATGATGATGATGATGGTGATGGAGATGGTGATGGTGATGGTGATGATGCGAATTTTGGTGATAATATGGATGCAAATCGATCTTACAACCCACTTGGAGGAGAATTTGGGCTTGCTGCTACTGGTGGACTTTTTATTAATATGGCAGAATACGAAGGAAATCCATTTGCTGAATCTAGTGAGGGTCAAAGTGCACGTACAGCTCGATCAAAAGGAAAAACAAAGAAGCACCACTATAAAATTTCTAGAGGTTCTTCATATTTAGGTGAGAGACTAAATTCTAGTAACTTTGAGTATAGTGAATCATCTGCTAGTACTCAAAGACATTATTATCCACCAGAACAACATAATTTTCAACCTCCTCTCCACCTCCATATGGTTATTATCTACCTCAAATGTATCCTCCACCTCTTTAAATATATCCTCCACCTCAAATGTATCAGTTACCACAAATGTACCCTCCACCACAAATGTATCATCCTCAAAAATATCTTCCCCCTCAAATGTATCAAGAACAAAAGTCTAAGGGATGGAGATGGAGTCAACTTAGCTCTCAAAGTGAAGATAGAGAATCTGATCCTCCTTGTCATTCTACCATGTGGTAAATTTGAAATATGTATCAATAATTGTAGTTGATGGAATTTGAATTTATTATATTTTTAAGTTTGTAATTTTATTAAATTAAATGCTTGATATTTAACATATTATGTTTTGTTAATATTTGATTTGTCTAGAATTAATATTGAATATGAACTTGGCCAAGAAAAATTTTATGGATAAACCAAATATGAATGATTTTTATAATCTAAATAAAATTGTGAATAATTTTTTTAGAAAATAAAAAACATAGAGTGTCATAAACTAATTTTAAAATCATTGAATAAGAGTTTTTATAATTATAATTATAATTATTACATTTTATAAAAAAAAAAAATTCACAACCGTGATGACCGCAGTGATCGCAATTATCTCTGTTATATTTAAAAACGCGACAAATGCTACCCAACCGAAAACGTGATCGCGATCGCTATTTAAATCCCTGTCTTTGGCTTTTAAAATTGTCTGACCTATTAAAAAAACTCTTAATAAACCCAAATGACTTGGTTTACTCCAAAACTTAGCTAAATTACTTAAATAACATAAATAATCTTTTTTAAATCATATATAAATGATCTTTCTACTCAATGTGAAAGACACCAACAGAAAATGGCCCGGAGATGTTTGGAGAAGAGACCCAATATTTTTTATTCTGATGATGAAGATGGCTTGCGACTGGAGACTATCCTGGAGTTGCCTATTCCCGGAGAGATGTTTCAGGCTCAGGGGCGTGGACAACACTAATGAAAGCTCAGGCTTATGAAAGCACATTAAATAGGGAGTTCTCTGCATCGACGAAGCTTGTTGGATCTCCTTTTATTCATACAATTCAGCCCCAAACATTTTTTACCAAAGCAAACTATATCAACCAATGATGCTTTCTTTGTTTTTCATTTTTCCCTCTCATCTTTTCGCTTATCAGTAGCACAACATTCTATTGGAAGTGAATTTTTTTTTTCCTGAAAATTGCCTATTCATTATATGCAAATATTAAAGGTTCGTGAGCAATGAAGGATTTCAGGCACGTGAAGCCAGGAGTATAATTGAATTGAGTAATTCAGTGAGAAGTTCGGATTTGAACTTGATTTAAAATTTATTGTTAAAAACTTAATACATATTTGATTGAGTTTTAATTTTTAAACTCAAATTTGATTCAAAATAAAAATTAAACTATTCGAATTCGTTTGATAAATTTATTTAATAAAAATGAATTCGATTCTCATATTTGATTTTAAATTTAATTATGTATTCAAACTCGAATTGATATTTAAAGATAAAATAATAATTTTTAATTAAAATAATAAAAATATATTAAAATTTAAAAATTCACTAATTATTCAAATTAAATATTAAAATACTCAAATTTAATTAGTTCGATGAATTAAATTGTTCATACTTAACTTGACAATAATTAAACTAAATTTAAATTTTATTAAATTCGAATTTCAACTACTTGTAAATATTAATATATTATTTACACATATAGGTTATACACTAACTCAATCAGATCTTCTCAAAGGCCCAAATGAAGAGCGCCACCGCTTCAAGACATTCCAGTAAGTTACCCATATTAACCTACAAAAGGCTAGGGCTTCTGAGCCAGATCGAGCCCATCTTAAAAAAAATTTTAAATTTATGCCTATGTGGGCCCAGTCACCGAAGCTGCAACAGGTCCAAGCGCCCCACAATTTGATCAAATCCCACGAAAGGTCCAAACAAAGGAGCCGCTGAAACCGTCAAAACTTCCAGTTAAATACTGCTCAGCCATAAAACCCTAATCCTTGAAAACTCTATTTATACAACTAAAAGCCCTAAACTTGCCGCCTCTAAAGATTTAGCAACCCTTTCTATCAATTTCTTCATATTTTTCATTTGATTTTCTTCTCTGATTCAAATGATTTTGTTTCGCTCAAAATCGCTCCTTGAAATCAAAATAAAAATATTGTTTTTTTTTATGCATCTGTTTACCCTCTCCTTTTTATAGCAAAAAGCAAACAATTGCTAATGGAGATATAACGGATGCAGATAGTGAAAGGTGAGCTTACCAGCCCATTCCATTTTATTTCTTTGCCTTGGTGTCAAATGGACTTACCCATATATTTTTTTTATAGAAAAAAATTGTTGCTTTTTTCTTTTTGTTGATGGCAAAGGATGAATATTTATCTTATCCTACACTCTGATGAACCGTGTAGATTCAAATTTTCGCTTATTGATATTCTGATGCCAATTTTGGTTTTAATTTTTTTTTTTTTTACGAAATTATGGTTGGAATTTGAAAGTGAAGGTAGATGATGTGAAGTTTCTTATCCTACACACTGAAATATGAATGTCGACTAATAATCTCCGCTTATTATCTGATGCCTTTGCTATTTTCAACGAAATCAAAGCCTTTTTTTTTTATATATAAAGTTTTAAACTTTGAAAGTTGGTTTTTTCTTTTATGAATTGATTGGAATTTTTAAGGTTGTTTCCAATGATGAGAAGAAGCAGACGGGCGGTCTGAATCTGATGCAATGTTGTATGTCTGTAAATTCCTACTTGTTGGATTTTTCTGAGTTTTAATTTTATTTGAAGCTGAAAAATGAAATCTTTACTGTTTGTGTGCAATGATGAAGTTACTATAGTTATGTCTGGACTTACGAATTTAGCATATGATTAGCTACGCATTTCCGAGCAATGCTGTATGAAATCTAACTCTTGAAAAAGATTAGAATTAAAAGGTTTTACTTAATTTAGCTGCTATTAGTATTACCATTGTGTTTACTTGAACAGTTGATGAACAGATTGGAATTCGATGGAGATTTATTAATGAATTATTTATATTGGCTTTGGCTTCATGTTTTTTGTCCTTTCTTTCCCATCTTTTTGATTTGTCGCCTTTGTATAAAATTATCATTACAACATTATTGTTGTGGTTTGATGTAACATTGGGGGATATCAAATATCAATGAAAGAAATTGAACTGGTAAATGCCACTAGTTGGGGACTTTGATACAGAATAAAATGGTGATGTTTGAAATCTTGGCTACTGAAAAACCCTCAGGCTTAGCTGTCTATGGGGGCCATGTTCCCTTGTTGGAATCGCAGTGGTGCTTATCCAGAAGAATGGAGGAAGCCACAAGCCCACAACTGTAATCTGCCAAACTCCTGTAGTAGCATTGTGGGATTCGTGGGACTGGGGTGGTCTCGCATTCCTGCTGTTGGGTCTTTAATTCTTTTACTAGAACCGGATAGGCAAATAGTTCTAACTTCATCTATGGTGCTGTAAATCTGAGACAAGACTGGCCCAGAAGGTGCTGTAGTCTTCTGGATGCAAGTTAAAGTCTAGGTTGGTTAAGGGTGAAGGCAGTCAAGCAGGGAACAAAGATCTGCCCTTTTTTTCTTGTGATTTTCGTTATGGCTATGGACTTGAACTAGGGAGTTAGCATTCCCAATTGCTTTGTATTGTTGGCTGTTATTTGAAAAAATCAAATGACCATTATAAATTCGAATAAGCACTTCAACATTCTTACAAGGCCACTAATTAAAAACAGACATCGACTACAAAATTTGTTGTGTTAATTGAGATTGTGTTGTGTACTTGAAAGGGACAATGTAATGTTCTTCAACATCACAGTTTCTGTCTCTCTTGGAGGTTATGACAGGCTTTTGAGTTTATTTAATACTGCTAATGTTCATTGAATAAATTCTTAAACAGATACATCGGATCAGAGACAAATGGAAAAACATCACAGGGTGAAAACTCCTGCATACGATTAATTTGGCGGTCAAAAATATTTTTGAATTATAATTTAATAATTATCTAAATATTTAATATTTTCTAACAATAAAATAAGTTTTTTATTTTCTTATTTTAACTCAATTGAATTATTAATTAGATAAATAATCACGTAAAAAAAATTGAAGTAATTTTTGAATTATAGTTTTGAATTTTTAGAGAGATTTTAATTTTATTTTTATATATATTAAGATACACAATATGATAAATTTTTATTTATTTTATTTTAATTAAAAAAATAATAGTGTTATTTTTTTATTCAAATAAGATTTAATTGGATGTAAATAAATTTAATCGAATTAATTGTTTATAATAACAAATAAAATTTTGGATGATTTTTTAATTATAATTTAATGACTTTTTATACATTTACCACTAATCTATTATTCTACTAGTCATGTTTACCCAAAAAATATTCTTTTAATTAATCGAATAGTTAGCACTGCCACGGCAAAGAAATGAACTTTAGGAAAGAATTTAAAGTCGTGTGCCACGGCGCCTCGTCGAACCCACCAAGCGTCGCTACAGTTTTTCACCTACCATTGTTATGACAAGTCACCGACCTTCTGCTCTCTCTCTTCCTCTCTCTCTGGTAATACTAACTAAATTCTTCTCTCTACTCTCTCCCCTTGACTGATTTTAGCCAAAAAACTGGGAACTTCAAAGTTTTGTGGGTTGAGAGATGAAAATGAAGGACCCAGATTCACCGACAACGCTGCCAATTGCAATCAGTTCACAGCAACAAATAACAGCAAGTACTGTGAAGAAAGACAGCTCCGTAGTTGGTTTCTTTGGTAAAAGTGGATACAATTCTGGGTCTTGGCTGCAATTCTCTTACTTGCTTTCTGGTCCATGTTTACGGGCTCTCTTTCTCTCAAATAGTCTTCGGGAGATCTTAGTAGATTATCTGATGACACTGACTTCTCTGTCCATCACGATCTCGACGTCCTGGTGAGCAATCAATCTCTGATCTCTCTCTCTCTCTCTCTCTCTCTCTTATCTTTTTTCTCTTTGTGTTTTGTTTGATTTTCTTGGTTTGTTGGCTTCGGATTGAGTCGTTTTGTTAAAAAGGAATTGGAGGAAAGAGAGAAGGTGGCGAGGAAGATGTGATATATTTATACGCATAGCGCTAGCGTTTGTTTGCCAAGGTTTTGGCTTGAAGCTTTTGCGGCTGCTTATGAATATTTATCAAGTGATGTTCCTGGCGTTCGAGATACTGCTATGTCTGAGATTGCTAAATTATCTATAAGTTCCCTAAATCTTGATTCGCTTTGGCCTCAATCAAAGGTCAGTCTCATTTTCCATTTTATTTGATTTTGACATGCCCCATACATAGCCTTGAAAGTGATTGAAATAAAGATTAGAGCTTGGTTTTATGTTAATTTTTTCTCCCTGTATTAGAGAAAAGAAAACAAACGAAAGATTGTGTTGGATTTTTCGAGTTCTGTTGTAGTATTAAAGTCGATGTTGTCTGTCTCCTAACAGAAAATCAAATCACCATTCCTTTTTCTCAAGGGCAGCTTGAAAAGTGCTATTCTAAAATCCTACAACTTTTGCAGAGTACTAAATGCTAAACCCATCCTCTAAAACTAAAAATTTGGGCCAAGTAATTGTTTTCTAGAAAGCTTATCCGTTGTTTTCAGATTATAAACAAATCATTACTTAATGTATCATGATGTGACAGAAACGGGTTTCTCATATTTGTCATGTTGTTGTAATGTCCAGAGCAGCAGTCAAGGGAAACAAGCTGCTAAAAAGAAAGAGATCGATGCAAGTGGGACTAACTTATAGCGAGAATTTCCAATCCCAGTTGCCAGTGAACCGTGCAATCTCTCACACAGCTTGAAGTTCGGAGGAAATGGCAAATAGCTTGACTGTAACCAACCACCTATGTTATCAGATTAAGATTGAGAAGATTGTTTCTCTTCCATCATTGAATGAAGTCTTCAGATGAAGTTTTCTACTATTGAATTTAAAACTGTCAAAAATGGAGGACATTTGCTTCGTCAAGTTTAAGGCCCTTGTATCATGGACAGGAATTACAGAAGTTGCCTCCTGTTACTAAACCTTGTGTTAAGTGTGCGTCAAATCTTCAAATCTGAAATTTCGGTATGCATGATCTGATTGTTGAAAGAATTCATCCTAATATAAGAGCACCATAACCTTTTTGTGATCAAAGTTTGACTTACTATTATAATAAAAAAAAATTCTCTCAGAGAAAAAAACGACTTTACCGCAATGAGCATTACTTCACAAAATCGCTTGAGCAGAATTAATTACTGCTGCTGCTCTATAAAGAGATTAAAATAATTCCTATCTAAACATTTACAAACGGTAAAGCCATATGAATTTACATCGACATCCAAAAAATCTTCCGCTGTCTGAATCTCATCCGTTATGAGCCAGACCGCTGAAGTCAAAATTATCAATCTTCTACTGTCTGAATCTCACCCATCATGATCCGATTACTAACAACGTTAAATCCCAAAACAGCTCGGCTCACCTTCTTTCCCTTCTTCCCCTTCTTCTTGCCTTCCCCCCTTGAAGACCCATCTAGGCCGACTGCAACATCTTGGTCTAAGTCACCAGCACTTGTATTGCCAGAATTCACATTTCTGGCGCCAAACTCGGTGAACTTTTGGTCATTTTGACTTTGAAAGGCAATCTCAAGCACGTCAGGTGATAACAACTCCTTGTAGTTGAGAAATTTTTCAATGAACTCATGATTTGGATCAAATGATCCAAGGTTCTCTACCAGAAGTATCTCAGCCTCCGATCTAGATTGCTTCAAACAAAATTCCAAGAAACTTGTATCTAGCAAAGGGACAAAAAAGTGACACAAGGAAGATTAAAATGCAAAAAACCAATGAGAATTCAACCAGCTTTTATAACTAGAAGACTAGAAAGATAGATTCACAGAATTGGAAATAGGAAAAGCAATTATAAAGAGGACATCATCTTAGGCTGAAATGAGAAGCTGAAATTGAAATTTGATACACAAACATTGTCTCCAACCTAAAATCCGTATAATTTAAAACCACGTAGCAAAATACCAATACCTTTTGTCCCAATAAGCCTAACACACTCGCCCTCACACCAATCTCTGAAATCCATGGCCTCTGCATAAAAGTAAATGCATATGTGATGTCAAACTTTTATGTTAAGTAGTTAAAAACAACAAATTTCTGTACAAAGACCATTTATTCATCCTAGGATGACTTACCAGAATGCTTGGTCAATGTATCCCTTTTCCCTTTAAGGGAAGAATGAGCGGAGGCAGGAGAGGATGACAGAGTGCGCTCATTAGGTCTGCCACCCACAGACTTCTGTCGGGTTAATGACCCACTTGCAGTTCCTTTAACAGGAGTGGTTTTTGTTCCCCAACTGCCCACCCTTGCTAGAAGTGGGAAATCAGCTCTGTTTACAACAAAACATAACAAACATTCATATCTCCGTTTACTGATTACTACAGAATCTCATTAATAAGTCACCAAGGATAAACATTTACTTCTCTCTGTTGCAAGGATGTATGATTTACTACTAAGCCTGGCTTTTGGTAGGATTAAAAATGGCAAAAAGAATTCTCACACTGACTCCAAAAGTAGGGAAAATTATTGTTAAGTTGAAGTCAAAATCTCAATTTTCTTTTTACCAGAAGAAAATCACCTGCAGACTGCAGTTCTTAGCTGCTCCGGATAACAAGGTTTTTTTAGAACAGGTTAGCTTATCAGTGTGTTATCTTTGTAGGCCAGAAAGGCCAGAATGCAGTTGAAATAACAAGAGATAGATCCAACTTTCCAACTCACGCAGGAAAACACTTCACAAGAGTAAAACATTTAGTGCATGAGGGTGTGTATGTGTTTTCTTTTTCTTTTCACAGAGTGAGAGGGGGTGCGTCGGGGAAGAGAACATACTGCTTTGTTTCTTGCTTTGTCTGATCAATTGGGCCCCAGAATAGGTCATCATCTCCATTATACTTTGACTGAGAAGATGCATGGGAATTAATCTGGATGGGAGATACAACCTTTGATGGTGAAGATGCAGTGAGGGACCGTGATGAACCACTAACATGAGTTGACTGACTTGGTTGGGATTTCTGAGGAGTTGGTATTGGATTTGTGGGATGGACAGAGGAATTCCTCTTCTGCTCCTTTTGGATGTCCCTTAATGATGTGGCTTTACGAAGTTTCTTAGAATCAGTAGACCAAGCTGGAGCAGGGGAAGGGTTTACTTGCTCTCCTTTCCAAGGAACAAAATCTCCCAAAGAAGGACCTGATGGAATTGAAGGCAATACTTCCTTCTCCAGCTGTGCTGGGCGAGAACTTTTGCCTTTCTCAACAGGACTTGCACTAACAACAGGCACATCAGCAGTACTAAGAGGAACTGAGACTTTTGCTCCTGCACCCTTTGCTTTTGCAGACTTTTTCCGACTCCTTTTAGTTTCTTTAGCCTCAATAAAGTCGCCATCATCAATAGGTTCCACATTTGTGGTGGTCACATGGGCAGAAGATGTAATAGTGTCAGGTACATCTGCATCTCTTTTTCTGGATTTTGCTAAAGCTTCCGCCAACAGATCATGTATTGGGCTCTTTTTACTCTTTGGATTTGCAGAACATTCAGGTTTCTCCACAGCTGACTCAGCAATATCAGCATCTCTTTGACTTTCTCTAGAAACTTCGGGTTCCAAACTAGCCACAACCCCAGCCCAAGGAGTTGACAAACTCATGGAATTGACAGAAGAAATAACCTCTGATACTGCCATTTCAGTTTGTGCCTTCCTCTGTTCTTCCTGTTGGATTTCCAATAATGACTTTGCCTTGAAACCAGGAGCAGGTTTCCACGCACGTAGTGCAGGCTGTATAGGTGTGTTCTGCACTGGGAAAGAACCAGAAAGCCCGGACTCACCCTTGAGTTCTGTGGTTTCAACATCAGACACATCAATATTAGCAGCTGAAGAGCTTTTAGCACATTGAGAATCAATGGGGGCAAGTCTGGATTCGTTCTCTTCCTTCTTTCCCGTACAGGTTCCATTAAGGTTATCTCCAGCAGTGTTAGTGTCACTAACAACTGGCTCTTCAATTTCAGATGGTTTCAATTGCACTGAAGAGGAAGCCTTTGCAACTCCCTTGGACTGGTCAGAAGCTTGTGATTTACTAGATTTTTGCTTTCTAGACTTCTTTTCCGAAGCTTTTCTTACCTCACGAGATTCAACATTCTTAACTTCTCTTACCACAGAAGGCTGATCATTGCTTCTTTCTCTTTCAACTTGCAATTCATCAATATCAGCAGCAGGTTGAACACCCTCATTAATAGGTGTATCAATTTTAAAGGTTCTAGCAGTAGCAATTCCAAAGTGCTCCAAGGTTACAGAATTTGCATCAGTCACTGGGATTGGTACAGTTTCATCAATCTTCTGAGCAGAGTCCAGTGGATGCTCTACTGTAAGAGCATCACAGTCAGATGCAAGGAGGAGCCCTTGCACAAGAGAAGCTTCCTGGGAGGATAAGTTCATTTCACGTGGGGGTGAACTTTCAACAATTGTTGTCACTGGCAAAGACTGTTGGATGTCATTAACCTGTTCTGGTGCGCTAGTCCCCCAGCTCTGCTGGAGATTGATACCACTAAACATCTGGTGTGGCAGATGCAAAGGAGGGGATTCAGAACTACGAGCATAACTGATATCCTTGGTAACTTGTGTAGGCAGATTCATGAAGTTATTTAGACGTTCATCTTGAGAGCCTGAAAGTTGTAACTGCAAACCATTCTGAAGCATATCTTGTGATGATGGCTGAAGTCGACTGGGATTCACAGATGCATTCCCTGTTGGAATTGTAGTAGGCTGTAAGTGTCCATAGGAGGGTTCACCAACACACTTCTGGGAATGATGTTCTTGCAAAACCTGTGAAAGCAATTGTTGTTTCCATAACAACTGTTGCTGTTCCTCCTGTTTTTGTTGCTGCTTAAGCAACATGATCTTCTCAAGAAGTAACATCTGTTGTGTTGGTACTGGTGTCTGGGCTTGTAGCTGCTGCATCAAATACTGCAGCTGCAACATATTTAGCAGTTGGGAGTCTTTAGATAAACTGGAGGAGATTAACTTTTCAGGAGTTAAAATACCAGACGGATTATCCATAGTTTGACTGAGCAAACTTGTCAAGGAAGGTGGGGTAGGTGTTTGCAGCCTCTGTTGTTGGATCCCAAAGGGAGCTTGGGTAGGAAAATTTTGAGCATGATGCAACTCAATCTTATCTTGAAGAGGATCCAATGCACCTTGGGCAGGAAAATTTGACCAACCACCAATACTATTTACCCCAGGAGCAGACCTGTCAGGTAATCCTTGGAGGATGGACATCAAATCAGCACCTTGTGAATGAGGCGTCTGAAGAGTGTTGTCAGTCAATGATGTAAGGAGCTTTGCATGAGGAGTGGGTGATTCAGACATGATCTCTGACTTTGAAACCATTGATGCAGCATCTCTCCCTGGCCAATAAGGGTAGGGTTTTGGTAATGACCTCTGCTGTTCAAGTGTCATTCTCTTGGCCAAGAGATAGAGATCGCTTCCACTTTCTATTCCGGATGCTGGAATGCCACTAGAATTATTTGCAAGATAGCATTGCAGACCTAAAACAAAATCATTCGAGACACATTAAGCTGCCGGTTTGAAAATACTAGAAGAAAATTTGAATAAAATGTGAGGAACAGCTTTATAGATTAAAACCCTAGAATACTCTACTTTTAGAGTTCAGCAAACAAAATTATATAGTATAAATAAATAAATAAATGTGTCTCTATGTAGAAACCCAACCTTTGGATGGATTGCTCATGCTACCAGACATAAGTGACTCCAAAAACCTATTTTCAGCTTCTGCTGTCGGCCTTGGCTCATTTCCGATCATATCAATCTCACTTGCACCAGCATGAACTTTCCCCAAGCTACTAAAATTTGTCCTGCTAGACAAATCTGAGAGTTCACCCTGTTTTGACGCACTAAATCCAGGAGGTGGTCGTGCTCTAGCTTGTAAGTGGGGCATTACATCACCAAGTAAGGAAAATGCCGAGTCCTTGGGTGCACTTGCAAGCCGAACTTCCAAATCTATCCCAAAATATCCTGCTTCAAACCAGCCTATGATGTCAATCCCTGAAAAAGGGCCTTGAATTTCACCTTGGGGATCTTTATAGTGAAGGAGAAGATCCTCCGGAGCAGGCAGCTTTCTAGGTTCAGGTTCCCTCTCCAAAACCCCAGATGGCTGCCTCTTAGGAATAGGATCCTCACTAGACTGCCAATTTGCTTCATCTCTGGAATAGGATGAATTCATCAAATTGCTTTCTCCTTGGTTAATCGTACCTTTCTGTGGTTGTGACCAGCTCAAATCAGGGGTTCTTGACCTAACATCACTTGGAATCTCCTTCCAATCATGTGTGATTGTAAGTGATTGTTCTCCCAATGACGAGGCTCGCCACATGGTGCCAGGATTAATAGAGTTAGTTACTTGTATACTTGATTCCCTACTTATAAGCACCTCTTCAGCCCTTCGAGGACCACTATCATCCATAGCTGCAAAAATATAAATGAATAAAAGATCAATTGACAATCAAATAATTGCATATCAAGATAGAGTAGGAAAGTAAAATGTCAAATCTACAGAATGCAGTGTAGTGCAATGAATTTCAGAAAAAAAGGCTGAAATTCACTGTGAAAAAAATCTCAATCACATCAAATTAAACTAAACTACCAATCCATTGAACCAATAAATGTTATCCCCAATAACCAATTATCTCCTTCCCCATACAAAAACTCAACTAACACTTAATCCCCAAGACAAACTGATTTATATTGGCTACCTGAATCTTCTTTCTTGTTCCAACCCATGTAGCAGTAATTCTTCAAAAGATGTAGCAACGATCTAATTTCTCATATGGTTCAAAAACTCCAATTGCGAATGCTTTTCACATCCAATGAAATAATTTGCAAAATGGTTACCGGTGGTATCACCTAATAAAGGCTAAACAACTTCTATAATTATACCTTCGGATTTTAATTTATTATCTGGGTGTCCCTTATGCTTTTCAAGCAACGAACCCTCTGAATAATGTGAATAACCAATCTTTGGAATGTCAGTACTTTCCTCTTTATGATCATCAACAGCAGGCAGTAAATCTTCCCTACTGCCTGCATAAATCAATTCCACCAGAAATTAGACACTACCTCAAAATAAACACAATCTTAAAGCAGTAATATATCTTGAACTGGTTGAATACCAATCTTGTTTCGTCTTGAATGAGTAAACTCTATAGAGTTCCGGCCTCCTGGCCAATCTTTAGCCATCTGAGGAGCACCACTACTTGTTATGTCCCCTTTGTCAATTCCCTTCAGAACAACCTATCAAAAAGGCATTAATATCAACAGCATAGTCAAATCAAAGTTCGCCATCATAGTACAAAAAAAAAAAGAAGAAGAAATTACCATTTCATCAGAATTAGGAGCACAAAGAGCTAGAGGTTCCAACGGTTTATCCTGCGTAAGAGAAGGCACTGATACAAGCTCTTCTAAGAGTTTTTGATAAATACTCATGTCAATTCGCCTATATAAGTCAAGCAATTTTGTCCTACTATATCTTAAAGGGTATGGCTCTCCATGGTCAATTTCACCCTTGTCCAATATGATTCCCAGAGACTGAAGATGAGAAGGTATACTAGCCCCTGAGTTTACACCAAAACTTCCCCTTCCGCGGCCAGCAGAAAATGTTGAAGTGTGGTTTTCTCCACATCCCCGGCCATAGGAAAATGTGGGAACCTGCTTGCTTGGAGTTAATGTTCGGTAATGAGGAGGCTCCCCCCTTCCGCGACTTTGAGAAGAAGTGGATCTCCATGGGCGATAATGGTCCCCCTCCCTCTCATCCTTCCCGTGACTGGAAAGATGAGACAACCCTTTGTCAATAGGCATATCACCGTCTCTGCCTGAGTCTGTCCACTTGTCACACGAGCCTTCAGTGTTTTTATCATCAGGCCCCCAGCGTGTGTTCCATTTGCTCTCGCGTCGTTGATCATAATTTCCCTGTTACCTGAATCAGTCCACCGCTCAGAGGGCGCACGGCGAGCTTCTCCAAATTGTCTTGAAGGCAAGTTATCAGCCCATCGATCCATCCTGCGGGTGTCGCTGACCTCTTTAGCTCCAACCCTCCGGTAATCTTTGTGCACAGATGAATGGGTATCTCGTTCTTCATCGCGCCATTGGTCTCGGCGACCAGTTTCCACATCAGGTAAGGATGGGCTTAAAACATCCTTCTTCTTCAGGGTATCATGCATATCCTCACCATTTCTGGATGGCTTCAAGGCATCAGAGCGACTTCCATGAGCTGGAAAAGGGGCAGGATGACTTTCCTGCATAGATAATTGAAAATTAAGGGGGAAAAGACGCACCTCTGAAACAGTAAGAATATTAAACAGAGAACTAACTAATTCTTGAAATGAGAACAGTATATTGATAGAAAGATTTACAAAGCATTTAGACAACATAAAACCCAAGTTTCCGAATAGATGAGAACACCATGAATAAAATAACAGAAATATATAGCCAAAACAACAACAACAATAACATACCACAGTTCCCATTCCAGGCTTACTCTCCCCCGGCTTTGGCAGAAGCCACTGAGGTGAAAGCGGAATAGGATTGTCAGATCCCTGAACATCTGCATAAATCAAACAAAAGCATCAATAGAGACATGGCATATATTCAAAGGAAGAATTTTTAATGAAAATGCTTAAATTCACATTCAATCATGAAGCACAACAGGTACACTAGCAACGATACAAGTGCAGAATTTTCTTAAAAAAATACACGTTTTCTGAGAAATGACCGAACTTGCCTCTTGAAACTGCCACATTGATTTAGCATTGAATAAGAAAAACAAAATCATGAACCCAATGAAAAACAAAAGTGTTAAGAGTACAAAGACATCATTTGCAAAGTCTTAATTGACTTTCAAATGCAGCATTGCAAACAAATTATAAACTAAATAGATGTCTCAGGAAAAGCTATTCACAAAGCACCTGACAAGACGAAAATTAAACAAACAATTGTGAGTAGAAAGTCATGTTTCCGATCAATGGAATAAAAAATTATGCAAATTTTTATAAGATTAATCACATCAAAGCATAAAACAAGTAGTTGAATGCAATGACTGTAACAAATTTGTGAAAGAAAAGAAATCGAAAAAGTGTGTTCAATAATCGCCTTTTCAAGTAACACCAGTACGTCGCCATCGCATCGCACTTTTCAAATTGAAAATATTTTTTTAAAAATATATATTTTTCCAGTTCGGCACCGCATTAGTGAGTAGTGATCAATTTAAAGCTATCCTCATTTCTCTTCTTCGCATTTCAATAACCAAACGGCACTAGAAAATGACACCAGAGAAACAAAAAATATTAACAAAAGCCTTCCATTTCCAACTGATAAACCAAAAACCCTAACTTCGAAGCAAGAAAATCAATAAAACCCCCAGCAATCTCGCAAAACCACTGAATCTACAATAATGATCCAATAACACAACGAAATAAGCAAAAGGAGAAGGAATGGTCTGAGCTAGGGTTTTACAGAGACGAACGAAAGAAGCCGTTAATCCTTAATGAGAGAAAAAGAAATGGAAGCGCCGAGGTAAAATACCTGGGGAGATTGGGTGGGGAGTGTTGACGGTGAGGTGGTGGCCAGAATCGGAGGTAGAGCTATTAGCCATGGACGATCAGTGAAGGTAGAAAGAGCGAAAGAGAGAAGAAGGCCAAAGGAAAACCCTCGCTGCTGTATTTTTCTTTTTCTTTTAGAAGTGCTTTTTTTTGGGTTACGCTAAGCGGGGTGACAAAAAGGCAGGGAGTGAAGTGAAGGGAGAAATATAAGTTCGGTGAAAAAAAAAACAAATTATAAGAAAAAAGTGGTAAAAAGATAAAAATTGTGGAGGGATACTTGCGGATTACGTTCGTGACTAGAAGGTAATTTGCTGTCCAACATTCCAACTACAGTTTCTGTTCAACGGATTCTTATTCAGTTGATAATGTCTACGCACTTCGAAGAGTGCGTGAAATGCATTGCTTCGGAATAGCTCCTTCAGTGGCTTGCACGCGAGGTTGTGATGAGGGGAGACAAGAAGGCTTTATCTGTTTTTGATTCGATGGGTGCGTAATACCGTGCAAGTTAGGGTAGAAGTATGGCACGACTTGAAAGACTGTCGTTTTAAAGGTAGAGCATTCGCAACGTAAACTTGCTCCGAACTTTTGGTAACCTTAGTTAGTTATGGGATTTAGTAGTAAACAAGAAACAAATGATGATTAAGATGGTTTTTAAGAAAAAGTTTGGGTCGGATTTGCCTTTTATGATGAAAAAGAAAAAGTTTGGGTTGGATTTGCCTTTTACGAAGAAAACAAATGAAAAAAAAAAAGGTCTGGGTGGGATTTGTCTTTTATTATGAACAAAAAACAAAGTTTAGGTGGTATTTTTAAGGATTTTTGTATTTTATTTTCCTCTGACTGATTACAAAAGAAAAAAAATCTTCATATTGTTTAAAATGTCATTAATATTTTACTTGTTTAAAAATTCATTTAATAGTGTGACAAAAAAATTTTATTGTATTGTAATATCATTTTATGATTGAATCTCAATTCAATTATAAAATAATATTATGGTACGATAAAAACATTAATTAATAATAATAGAAGAATGCATATAAGTACATTTATATATTTATATAAAAAACTAAAACATTGAAAAAAAAATCAAATATTGTAATTTAAAAAGAATTATGCAAATAAAAATAATAGTATATAAAATATTAGTAAAAGAAATGTCAAGGAGAATCTAGTGACACTAAAAATAATATTTAAAATACTAAATATGTGATTAACTCATTTTCTGTTTTTTAACTTAATAAAAATAATACATTATTGTTAAATTATTCTTAATCCATCGATTAAACTATTATTAATTATTAGAAATTTTAAAAAAATGATAACATAAGAACAGTATATGATGAGATGTAATAGATCACATTTGAATAGATACAATATTAAATTCGAACTTAAATTTTGATATTCAAAACTTAACTCAAATTTGATCGAATTTTATTTTTTTAATTCAAATTCGATTCAAAATAAAACTTGAATTACTCGATTAAATTCGATTAACATATAAAAATAAATTTGATTCTTATATTTGTACAAGAATTTAAACTATAATTTGAAATATTTTATTAATTAAAATATATTAAAATATAAAAACTCGATTAAATTAACGAATTATTTAAATCGAATATAAAAATACTCAAACTCAACTTGATTAATAAATCAAATTACTCAAATTTAAATTTAATTTAATAATAATTAAATCGAATTCAAATTAAACTCAAATAACTTATAAATATTAATATATCATTTATATTCTTAATAGATATTTTAGATATTTGGGCAAAAATGGAAGGCCTTCCGGCCGCATCCTGTTGGAATCGTCCATCTGTTTACTTTTTCTGATAAAGATCTCTCACAATGGCCCAAGTAGACCAGCTTAACAACAGGCCTGAAATCGAAAAGCCATTCCAAAAGTCGGTTATATCTTGGCAGAAGAGTGGGTGGGTCAGCTAAGGTATCACAACTTGCCTGTGAAGTAATTAATAAACTTTTCAGTAACAGTGCAGTGTCGTATAACTGAAAAATCCTTATCCCAAATAAATTTTGGGTTAATAACAGGAACCGTCTTAAATATCATATGAATTTGTTAATTAATATAATATTTATTTTTAATATCATGGATTTTAAATAATATATTTTATTATAATTCAAAAGTTATTCGTGGAATTAGACCAATCAGATAAAACAAATTATGAAATTATATGCATCGAATGCTTGTACTCGAAGATTAAAGTTAGAAAAGTTATTAGGTAGTAATTGACTTAGTGATGCAAAGCCACATCAATAATAGTGCAGTTCTCCATAGTTATAAACAGTCGCATACAAAATGTTTCATTAATTAAAATTTAAAGAGAAGAAACCGCTTGCCTGACCAATATTGTAAGCATTCAGAGATGGAAGCAAAAGACTGAGAGAAGGGCTATTCCTGGAGAATGTCTATGGAAGATCACAGAACGGTTAGGACATTGATCCTATTATGAACTAAAGCTCGGTAGAAAAGCTGAAAGTAAATCACCTTTACGAGGAATAAGATGCTGTGAAACATTCTCCTTCCACAACTGCTCTGCTGTCTACGGTGAATCGATGCTTTTTCAGAAATGATACAGATTTTAGGCAAAAATTCATGCAAAAAAAAAAAAAAAGATTTAGTACTTGAAACCTAATGACATTTGTTTTAAACTAAAGACAAATAGTTGATATCTAAGACCTACCTTGCCCTATGCGAGAGCATCTGGCTGCACAAAAAAGTTGGACATGAGCTCATTGTGGTTGCTCACCACTTCACCAGACAATAATAATAATCAAGATTAATATCAAGTTCAATATTGCAATACAAACAAGAAAATATATAACTTCAGGTTAGCAATCAATAAAGAAACAGGCTGCTGGCTCTTCACAATACCAATGCAGATGGAGAATGGATTAGGAGCTCAGTAGAAACTTCAAACTCTATATTTTATAAATCATGCACTCTTAGTCGACATTGTATTCACAATAGTTTTTTTGATCTCATACAATGATGATTAAAGTTAAAGATCTGTGCATTAGCAACTGCCTTATTTTTTGCTTTCCTCTAGACTACAAATGAATTTACACAAAGAAATTGTTTCCAGCTATAACTATTTGTCAAGAAAGGGGAAATAAACCAGTTCCCAGTGCAGCATGTAAACTGAATTTCATGATAAATGAACTCCATGGAGAAAATTGAAACAGAAAGCCCCTCTTCATTCTTAAGTTCTGTTTGTTACATTTGAAGTGACATATTTCCTTAGAATAGTGAAGCTGTTCTTTAAATTGCACACATCTCTATCACCTATCATATATGGACTCCTAATGGATGATATAAATCATAAATTATAGGTTATCAAAATTTGAGGAGTAAATGCAATATAGCCACAATAATAAGAAGTTACCATACTTTTCTACTATTAAGAAACCATACTGCAGAGATAAAGGCAACACTCCCCCAGCACTGCAAATGGCAGTTTACTTCAAGGTTAATCAACTTCCATAATTCGACTAGAAAAGCTCTCAATCCCCAACAGAAATCAAATGTCCATGAATGCCCTTAGAAAGAAGCAAGAAGGCATTGAAAAAAAATTTACCACCATAACGACCACTAACCTAATCCCAGAATGCAAATGCATTAATAGGATCAATGCCAAACTCTTCAACAAGCTGCATAGGAAACATTTATAAGCTGAATAGGATTAATATCCATGTATCATATGTAATATGAAGCCATATTTATAAGAGCTTTAGCAGTTAATGAGGAGAAGGAATAAAACCAAGCTATGAAGAATGGAAATTGAAAAAAAGGAGGAATGCATAGTCAAGAGGCCATCTGTTTCAAGCAAAAAGAGAATACACATTTTCACTTTATCAAACATTAGCTGGGAACTGTACTCTAGCACATTGGAAATTATCGATTTGCCACACCAAACCCAAGAGAAATGATTCAATATGTTCTTAGTAGTTTGGCAAATGCTTAATCACTCAAATACACAAAATGATAGAACAAAATTATACCGTACAGACTACCCTTGTGTTTTGCAACCGCAAAAGGCCTGAAAAAGTGTTTAGGATCACAAGTGGCTTGGTAACAACAAATGGTCATACCACACATGAACATTGAAGAAGATAAAGAGAAAGATCTAGATCATTCGCAAATATCCAGAAACGTTATAACAGGCAATCAGAAATCAAAACCCACCAATCCAGGAAATTTTTAGATTATACATTAATTCCTTGAATACTGAGAATGGTTCCTAACAAGATTGAGAAAATCAAATGCTTATTAAAAGCGTTAAAAGATGAGATGAGAACATCTCCTCTGATTTTTAGAACACACTGCCTAATGGCTCATCACTCAGAATTTCAACTGTTAAATATTAATGAGAAATAGTTCCAAAATATTCATGCAGAATAGTACCAGAATCTTAAACTACCACTGCAAGCACATTGCTAAAAAATAAGTAGTGTTATCATGGCACTAACCTAAGGGCAGATGAAATCCATTCCCATAATGCTCGAGCTTTCAACATAGTTTCAGCTGTTGTAAAAGTCTTTGAAACCACCACAACTAGATGAAGTTACAAGCAGATGAAATCAGAAGAATCAATGGTACAAAAAGGAGTTTAGACAACAGAAAAGCAACAAGTTTTCAGAGGAATAAAAAGAAAGTATTTACCACAAGTGGTTTCAGGGTCTAATCCTATGATATTTCTAGCAACATCAATAGGATCCACATTTGCAAGGCTGTGGCAAATGCAAACAACAGATTACATTGAATTTCTAGAATAACTGAATGAAACAACAATTTATTATGCATGCAGGAGTTACTAATTACAATTAAAATGTCCAACAAGGAGCTAAAAATACCACATTCATGTTGAGAATCCACCACAACCAAAACAGTTTTGACTTAATCTCACTTATGCAATGCCAATCTTAGCAGGCCTAGCTAGTTTTCCTCCTGATATGACAACTATATGCTTCTTCTTCTTCTTCTTCTCCTTCTTCTATATTATTTTCATAAAAAAGAAAAAGAAAATAGAAGGTGCGCCAACCTAACCTTTCTCTTGTTCTTTTTTCGACACCTCCCCTCTCCCCCTCCTTTACTTCCCCAAAGGGAAAGAAGCAGTGTATAATACCAATATTATTATCAATGAAAGAAAGAATAATGATACACAAAGAAAATACCAATTGCAGTAATAAACAAGCACTTACAAACGTAGTTGGTGTCCTTTTGCAAATTCAACAACTTCAGGATCTGTGAGTAGTCAAGATTAATAAACCAAATGCATCAGCTATACTTCCTTCTTCATAGGTTACAAGTAAAAGACCAACAGAGTTACACAATTAATAGTAAAGTGCACCAGCATTACCTGTTTGGAGAGCAGTATGCACAAATAAAGGACCTAAGAAACTGCCACCAATACCGATTGCAAGAACATCCTTCAGTGGTTCTCCAGTAGCTCCAACCTGCCATGATTTAACTGTTTCTCAACAATTGAGGAACAACACATTCAACTTTGATGTTATCCAGAACATTCCAAACATGGGGCACCATATTCTTTCCATCACTGTATATAACAGCATCCCTCGGTGCTCAGAGAGCTACATGAAGCACTGACCTATTCTCTGTGCTATTTATCTGAAAGCTTCCAGCAAAATACAATCCAAAGTCTAATACACTAAAAAGGAAAATGCGTTAAATGCTATTCAACAATTATTGCCAGAAACCCAGAATCATCACTAATTATTACATCAAAGCATCAAAACAAAGAAAAGTAGACTTATCATTAAAAAAAAAAAAGTGGTGTAAAGAGAAAGTTAGACTTACATGCTCGTCGCTGTACATTCGGTTAATTTATTGTTCGAGAGAAGCAGCCTGAAAATGTGAAACGATTCAAACAAAATCGAAAACTATTACTATAATTTAAATCCATAATTTCAGAAACGAGAATTAATCCAAATTCACCTCTTCTAATTTATATAAATATATATAATCGAATATTTCATTATTTTTTTACTCTATGTTTCACGTAAGCATTGAATCAGAGAAATGATCAGAGTTCTTACATCATCACCAATTGGCATCGTTCTTCGTCGTTCATCAAATCACGAAGATGAGTTTTATTGATATCCTCGACATAAGCCTGTAGAATTCCAAATGAATTTTCGTGTTGAATACTTGAACACGTAGATTTTCTCGCTATTTTACCTATAGGCTTTGCTAGAAAGTGAAAAGAAAGTTACCTTCAAGTTCTTCCAAGGCTTGATGTCTCAGATTAGAGTGGTCGAAACCATCTCCGCTTATATTAAAATGCAACAATCTCTGCAGCAAATAAAATACTACTAGCTTGAGATTTCAAACCGATGAGGGAAAAAAAAAGCGAATAATAACTTGAGAAGATACCTAAAATCAAGGAAGAAATTCAGGAAGAAAATGGATAGAGAAAATAATGGACGTAGAAAAGTTGAAGTTGGACAAAAGCTTCGGCGAGGCTTAGAGGGTGACGAGCCTAGAGAAGGTAAAAGGCTACGTGGCTGAGATGCGAGGGCCGAAAGGGCGTCTCACAATTCGACACGGATCTGGAATTCCGGTCACTGAAACTTGGGTCGGGTCTAGTTTAACAGTTCGATTGTGAATTTTGAAGGTCGAATGAATTTGAATTCTGTGGGCCCGAGGAAACCATTTTTAGATTGGACTCATCTTAATTAGCCAAAAGCCCAAAGTCTACAGCCCAAACCCAGACCAAAGCCAGTTTATTATAGAAAAATAAAATAATATAAAAATTAAAAACATAAAAGAAAATTCCGTTGCCGGGAATCGAACCCGGGTCTCCTGGGTGAAAGCCAGACATCCTAGCCGCTGGACGACAACGGAATTGTTGCAAATAGTGTAACAGTAATAATAATATTTAATATTTACGAACGAATCATTGAGCTTACATTTCTATGATTTTCCATATTTATTTATCTTGGAGAAAAGGTATGGCACAAAGTATAAACTAAGTAAACAGGCATCTTCTAGATGCACTGTGGCTCGTTTGACTGACTGATTGTTCTCCTCCACTAAAAAAGCGTAGAAATTGTTTGCAGTTCAGAAATACCAGCTCCAGGGCATATGTACTGTCAAGTTTCATGACTGATTCATGTTTCCAGGATCGAAAACTTTCTAAAATGTCATTGTTATGATCTCAAATTTTCCCACTTACTTATGAAATTATGTTGTTATGGGATGTTAGATATAAAGTGACCGGATTCCAACTTGGCAAAAACTTAAAACTTGCTATGTTTAACTGTTAAACTTCTGCCATCAATTTCAAATGCCCATTCTTGTAGTTATGCTGATTATGTCCTCAACTAGACATAGAAAGCAACAATAATCCTCATCGAGGTCCCTCTCATGTCCTGAAAGATCCTTGCATCCATCTCTTTCTAATTAAATTAATGCTACTAATGAAGTTATTTCCAAAATTTATTTATCTACAGAGTTATCTTATGTGGCAAAAAAGAAAAAGACATTCATTGTTACTACTGATAGAGAAAGGAAAGAAACTCTAATATGAACGAGCAACTAACAAGTACCATCCATTGCACCTATGCATGTATATTTCTACTTGATGGGATATCTCTTCCTCTAGTTGATATCGAAGGCTTCGTAGTCTCTTCTGAATCCATTGTCTGCCAGAGATCAGAACTCTTCTTCCCTTCATTCTCAAAAGATTGATTTCTTGAATGATTGAGCATATGCTTGGTCCATCATCTATACAATAGGACACAGAAATGAACTCTAATTATTGTTAATCCATTTTCATACTGATGCTTCAAATTTGACAATTCTTGTTGCTGGAATGCCTGATGGATCCAGTATTGTCAATAGTTTAGGCACTGACATACCCCCAGAGATAACAATTTCTGTAACACAAAAGAGGACCAAAATTTAAAATCTTCACAAATATATAATAATGAAGGATGTTTCAGTCTTAGTTTTGAGTTTAAGTTTCATACCGATCCCCTCTCGAACTGATAAATTGGGCCTCAAAATATCCTTTGAACTGATGAGAAATATATCACCAAGATAGAGATGGTTTGTGGGAACATAAACACAGCAGAGTTCCTCTTCACCTATACCCTTCTGAAGAACAACTGTAGAAGTAATGAATCCAAAGATATATTGCCCCGTACGGGGGTGCCTTATGATTGCAACTTCTTTGAAAGCATTAGAATTCTGATCTGCAAAAGTGGTTTCCATGCTGCTTTTGAGTTACAAAACTTGGAAGCTGTAGGCGTTAAATTTCCAGAAAGACTTTACCTGGTGATATTGCAGCACTTATTTGCTTTGAGGCAGCGTAAATATAGCTCACAAATGGCATCTTCTTAATGAACCATTCACCAAGAGTAAGAACTGAAGCCCCCCACCATGATGACATGGAAACGCCTACTAAAAAGATAAAAGTGATGGAGGTAGCAAATCCTAGACCTGAGTCGTGTTTGCCAAATCATTCAAAGCATTAAACACCAAAACAACAGGTGCCAATGAAGTAAAAGCAAGAATTATACAATTCGACATCGGAAAATGTTAGATTAGTTACATCTTAAAAGTTTAGTCATGTCTACCGATGGTTCAGATAAAAAAAAATGGCAATGCTTGAAGAATGGTTTTCTGCAGTATATATCCAGTTTCATAATAGCTATAATTACAAGGCCATGTAAGCTATAAGAACTCAACCAACAAATGAGTAAAAGCTAAAAGAGGATCCAAGAAAAGGCAAGTTATTCTGCTTACCAAAAATATTGATGCCTAGATGATTATAGATTGGGGAAAAGAAACCATCAACGAAATGAACAAAACCCCAGGTAACATAGAATGTAATGGCTAGTGGAAGAAGTATGACACTGCAAAGTAATATCAATTTCATCAGAAGACAATCCAAAGAATCTCAATCATTTTTACGCTTGATGATTTCACATCCTTTTCAGGTTAATGAAATCATAACCATGAACAAAATGCAAAAATTGTTGGCTTTCAACATGACTGACAGTATAATGACCTTAAAAGTTTTGAATGTATGTGGTTTCAATGACTGCATTAACAGTTTAAATGCCATGAAGACAGCAAACATAGCAATATTCAAGCTGAAAAGGACTTACCATCCTGTCATAAACTTTTTGGAAGCCCAGCTGCGGATTACTTTTAAAAATGCCTATGCCAGAATGCAAAAGAAAATTAAACTCTAGTCACTAACAAGAAGCTGTAAGAGTTTTCTGTCTGATTCTGATATATTCATAACCATGATTGATGACATGAGGACAATGTTGTCTATACTTCTGGTTTAAGTTTGCCCTTTTTCGTCTTCAAATTTTCCCATAAACAAATATAAAACAAATTATCATCTTTGGGTCATTGCATGCATGTCCTTTTATCAATCCAACTTGGGCAAACACAAGAATGTAGAAGGGAATGAATGAATGAATGATGAGGAGGGAAAAGAATGGTACCTCGCGGCCATGGGAGGAGGACACGGTAGGAGTAGCAATAGGGGCGGAGAATTTGGAGCCTCCATTTTCAGAGATTGTTGCGACTGGGATAAGCAGCTCCCGATCTCTATCCCTCTCCCTCGTTCCCATTCTCTTCCTTTTTGGCCCTTTCCTTCCTTTTCTGCCTCTGCCTCTGTTTCTCTCTCTCCTCCCTCAAGCGAGAATAACGAACTATCGAATCAAGGTTGTTAGGATAATTAGGAAATATGTTAGCTGAAAAATAAATTGAACCAAACACGTGGGTTTGACTCAGCTTGCTTGGTTGTTATAATATTTTTGTTTCATTGAACAACGTAGTCGAAGGCTTGAAGCATAACAAGCAACATTATCCAGTCAAAGGCCTGCCATGTAACTTTGTTAGCTCACACCTCTAAATCACATTCCTTCTGCACTAAAATTTCAAGCACTTACATTTTTCATCAAATCTTTAAGAGTTGTCCCTAAATACACACATACAACGAGACATGGCCTCCTAATTTCTAAATAAATAGGCAAACATTTCTTTTATCTTTTTTTTTCTTCTTTTTTTGCCTTGACATAAACAAATTTTCACACGCATCACAATATCACTGCAGCATAATTTTTCAAGTACAGGGAAGGTGCAAAACGAAGAACTTGTGCCAATCTCCCACTACCATTAGTGAAAGATGATGATGCCTAACCCACTACTAAATGAGAATAAGAACAGCAAAAGTTGCCCATTGCCCTTTTGTTCATCTGTCCGATCATGCCCTTTTTCAGGTACTTCCACCAGGGTAAGTGCAGCCATTATAGCCTGTGCAGTGTAAAAGGAAAAAGAATTAGACACATTGATATATAAAATGAGACAATTAATTGTACAGTAAAGCTAAGGTTCTATTTTAAGAAATTTAAGCTTACTTGGGTTGTTGGAAGAAAGCATGGCTGTTTGTGAGAAATCACAGTTCCATGGATTCCGACCAGCAGTTTGATAGAAGAGATTCATGGCATATGCAGCATGTGCTGCTAATGTATTTGGTTCAAAACAAGCCCCTCCAGGTTGAATTGGACTACAGTCTATGCCTTGTCCACAAGCGTAATCCAAACTTGCCTGCAATTGGGCATCCGAAGGACCAGGCTTTGGTACACACCAATCTGCTTTCTTTGGCTGTGACGATGGTGTCACTGGTGTCTTTGGCATTGTCGGAGTCACCGGAGTCTTTGAAAAAAAGAACACATTTTAACAAGATTCACACCAGTTCTAAACAATATGAAGATGATTTTTGTTAACTAATGATATAGTTGCATATTGATCACCTGACTGCTCTTTGAGAGACCAATGTCATAAGTCACGGTAAGATCAGACTTGAAAAGCCCGAAGGATCTTTCGGAAGTTGGTCCTGGTTTCAAGTCCTCATCGTACAAAGCAAAGAGATATGTGTCAACCGATTTCCCTGGCATCAGTGGAGTTCCCACCATTGATCGAAGGTGTGCAATCAAGTTTCCATTGTAAGCCTTAGCGTTCTCAACGCTTGGTCCTACTTCGTCACTGTCTCCTTTGTACGGCCAACCTGTCTCAGCAACCACAATCTCAACATTCTCAAACCCCATGGCATTCAATGCAGAACGAACAGCATCCACCTGGCAAAGTAATAAATCCATTAAATTAAACAAAACAATCATTTTAAACGGGAATTACAGAACATTTTCATGTAACATTGAACTCAACCTGAGCATCGAACATGTTCATGTACATGATTTTCGTGTTGGCATCAAAACGCCCAGAATTCGGTTGAAACAAGCAGAACGCCAGCGTTTCAGGCCTTGGATCGCTCCTGTAAGCGAAATAAGGATACGGATTAATCGCAAAAGGAGAACCAGTAGCAGTGTTAAACGCCAAGAGCCCCTTCAACACGTCTCCAAAACTCGGGTCGAAGCTCCCAGAAGATGGCGGCTCAGACTGTTTCAATAAAGCCATTGAATGCACCGTCGAGACCTTCACTGTATCCCCCAACGAGGCCGCATCGAGGGCATTCTTGACATTTTGCATGGCTGGCAACAATTGAGTTATCAAATTTTTATCTCCCGACATGATAACCTCGTTACCAACGGTTACAAGGATGATTTTGCTGGACGGATAATATGCAACTACGTTGGTGCTCACCCAGTTTTTGGCAAAACTTGGGTCTGAGGCTAAGGCGAGGATGTCACTGTTGGACGTGCCAATGACGACGCCAATACCAGTGTTGGCTAGCGCTTTGATGATTGCTGTGTCAGACCCGTATAGCCTGACCTTTTGGATTGAAGTGGATTGGAGAAGCTTTGCAGTGGCTGCTGGTGAAGGTAGGTTGTCGGCAACTTGGCCATAATTTACACCAATAAATGATTGTGATTCTGCAAAGACATACGTATGTTAGACTTCCATATTTTTGGGGCCAACACAAGTTATCTTCTAAAAAGAAGATTCTGCAAAACCAGACAACCTAAGAATCTTAGGCCTCAGATTAAACCGAGGAAGAAGGAGTTTCAGAAGCTTACTTGCTTTATTTACTCCCAGTAACAGAGTCAGAAGAAGGAAAGTTACAGTAAAACGAATCGCGGCCATAACTGAAGAGATAGTTCTGTGTTTTCCACGTTCCAAAGTTTGACCATCCGTGAATGTGTTGGAGCGATAAATAAACAAAGGCAAAGCGAAGGTACAAAGGGTTAGAACCGTAAATGAAAATTTTCGGTGGGCAAAAATTTTGGAAACAAGTTTCACGTGTTTAAGGGGCCAAGTGCAATTTGAGCCGAGTTATGATTCGTGTCACTGTGACAGCAACCGAAAGTTGCTTTGATCGGGAGAACTTTCACTTTATGATTGGACGCAAATGCCCTTAGTGTGACCGTTGTGCCCGAATTTGGATACTTATTTGTATGGGGTTGTCTGCTTTCTGTCAGCATGGTAGATCCGTTTGGTGTACTCGTGGTCCTGAACCGAACTACCTGGTCCAAATCAGAGTCGTCTGGATCGTATTTGCGGCTGATATGTGGTCATCGTCGGAAATATGTTAATCCGAAAACAATTCTTTTAATTAATATTCTGAATCAAATTGTTTCCCCATTATTTATGCAATAATTATTGGATGGCGTTCAGGGACGGAACCCGGAGGGAGGTGGACGCAGGCGAAACTATGAAATTTGAAAAAGAGGGTAAATAATCAATTCAACAGAGAAGAGGAAATTACGTGTAATATTTGGTGAAATTAATTATAATTTTATGAGAAGGTTAAAAGTTTTATGGGTGCCGCGGTTTTTTATAATAAATTTAGTAATTTATATATTTATATTATATAAAATATTAATAATTTTTATATATAATGTTTTATAAAAATATATATATTATAATTCGTATCAATATAAAAATATAAAATAAATTTTTTATAATTTTTATTAAAATTTTAAATCATATTTTTTTATATTTTTTATTTATATTATTTTTAAATCGTATCATCTTATCTTATTTTAAATTATCAAATCTATTTATTATATAAAAGTCATGGCTCCTAAAATTTTTTTGTATCACTCTAAATTAGAAATTGAACTTGCCAAAGTTAATATAGGTCTCATTTCTCTCGTTCAATTCATTATTTGACCTTCTCTTTAGTTATTGTATAATTTCACCTTTAATTGTGTTTATAATAAGATATTATTTTCTTTTAGAGTAAGACGAAAATACTTCCGTAGTTAATCCAACAGCATTAAAGCTTGAGTTTAAGGTTTGGATTCTTAAATCCAATTGCATGCTTTTTAATGCTTTCCTTCTCCATTAAGGAAAAAAAAAAAAAACACCCTTTTCTAGATAGAAGACATTTCCAATGCACAAAAAAAGAGGAGCTTTGAACATAACTAAGAAAGTAAAGCATATTCAATCAAAGCCCACGCTGGAAAACGAAGAGCTTCTCACGTGGTTGTAGAATATAATGATAGTCAGGAACAAAAAGGAACAAAGGTGAACCAACTTTAAGAATGGTGCTATAATTGTTGCACAAGCAAACTTTGAATATATAACTATATAAAGTAAGCTTTTAAACCTTCATATTTAAGTTTTCTACTTGCTCCTCCCAAACCCACCAAATTATTTGAGCAGCTATTCTTTTTCAAAAAAAAAAATTTTTTTTCTATATATATTCAAAGTGTTTTTTAGGTACAATACATTGACCCACCAAATCAAGATATTTTCAACCACAACACTTGCTTTAAAAAATAAGGCAATGACTATATATATATATAATATTCACTTACATTAGTGTAATTTTATAATATTTTAGATATTTAGATTAATATTAAATCCAAATTTTATTTAAATCAAAATAATATTTTTAATTTAATAATGTGATTTAAAATTTAAAAAAATGAAAAAGGTTTACTATTGCGAGTGAATCCCTTTATATATATATATGAATACAAAAGATTATAGTCCATGAAAATTTATCATTAAAAACATTCAAAATTTGATTTGAATAAATATACTGTTTAAAATTTACTGAAAGTACTATATATTTTATTTATGAAAAATTATTTTTATGATATCAATAGAATTTTTAGATTTTAAATCTACAATTAATAAAATGACACATATTATTTAGGATATATTAAAAAAAGTGAGTCATGTGTTAATTTTTAACTCGCTTATAAAATTTTTAAAAAAATTATATTACTGTGTATAAAATAAATAAATAAATAAATATTATTTTTTAAAATGGGGTTAAAAGGTCTTGGGTTTTATATTAAGGCCCAAATTGGAGGCCCAATCAAGAACCAAGTAGATCGCTTTTTTTGTTAAGCTATGAGCCCGGACGTTGCCCGAAAGAGAAACGATCCGGTTTTGCCGCGTTTAGAATACAAAAATACAAAATACAAAACGAAAAAAGGTTTGAATTTACCGCCATTTCTTTTCCGATGGATTTGGTTCCAAATTTGGATCTGTAATTAATTGGTGTCGCAATTTCTTTTTCTGCTTTTCCGCCCCTAGCTATTCTTAATTGCTCTTTTCTCGGCAAACAAGCCAAGCCGTAATCAGTTCTCGCAATTCCGAGTCGAACATTTGCTGATTCTTCCAAAAATAGCGTTAATTTTTTAAGTTTGGATCTGATGGGATAGAGAAAATTGATCTTCCATTTTCGTCCGTCGAAAAACTAGGTCAAGATCAGGCAAGCTTCACCATTTTTTATTTATGTGCTTTTTCCTCTAATTTGCTCTTTGTATGATATATATATATATATATATATATATATATATTTAAAATGTGATTTATCTGCACTCTTGTTATGATCTTACGTTTTTTAGGTTAATAATACGCATTTAGTAATAAAATTTGCATTGAAATGTGTAGATAAATAGTTGAAACTACATTTTCAAGGGAGAGAGATGAATTAATCATCAATTATATGCAAACAATTGAAAAATTAAAAAAAAATGTAAATAAGAATCACAATTTTATGAAACGTGTCAATCTAAAATAGGATATAATAATATTAAACATACGATGAAAATATAATAAAAGAGTGATATGATTTAAAATTTTAATAATAATTATTTATAAATTTAATAAAATAAAAAATTTATATTTTTGTTTTGATATATATAAATTGTGATGTATAATTTTATATAAAATATTATATAAATTTTAATATTTTATATTGGACAAATCCACAATTGTCCGGACTAGTTTTAGGTACCTTACAGGGAAAAAAGCTATGAAAAGTTTTCTATCTGATGTAAACTGAAACATTAAGCCAACTCTGCTTAAATAGTTTCGGTTTTTTTTTTTTTTTTAAATTTATAATTAAACTGAAACACTTATGCCTGTGTGAAAAGATGTATGGAAATCTCATGTACGAGTCCATTGAGCACGTACTTCACTATATTCTTTATAACATCATCTTTCTCAAGAAACCCAAACATCCTGCCGTTCCAACCCAAGTCCCACATACAATTCACATCCGGTTCGTTGTTGTGGACATCGGCATCAAGCATTTTTGGTAGGTAGTCTTCAAAGGGAGAATCTTATCTCCCGTCCCTTCCATATAACTTCAACTTATCAAAATCTTTACAAATTTGCTTGACCAAGTCATCCAAGGATTTTGCTTTGTTTGAAGTGATGGTTACGTTCAGAAATGGGCGAACAGTTAGTTCCTGCCTTCTTCCTTTCCTTTTCATTACTTCGTAGCCACAGTCCAAAACGAGTTTGCTCTCTTGATGGTGATAGTCATGACCGTTGCATGAAGAATGCTGATAGGAATGTTGAGTTTGAAAAGCACCCCTGCCGTGTTCATAAATAGTTGGCTTTTCATAAGTATCTGCTTGAGGTGATTTTCACTCTCTGTCAGTGGCTCTGGCATCTCCAATGTATCAGTTCTTTGGTTCTGTGACTGTTGGGTGCAAGAGATTTCTGTGCTTTCTTCATGAGTTCCTAAAAAACAATGAACTTTAGCAGATAAGTTTCTCTCTTCTTCCTCTTCGCAAAGAGCCTACCCCACCAGAAACATAAAAGGAAAACGTCTGATGTTGCCACTACTATGGCCTTAATTGTTTGAAAGATTAGGAGAAGATTAAGGTTTCCTTAAGAGTGTGGTATAATACACATGTAGTCAACTTTCTATGGTTCAGTCCCCATATAATTAAGCGGGACATCTTATGCATCTTTGTTTATATGTGCTTGAGTTGTTGTTTGTGCTCTGTGCATAAACACCACATATTATGCATGTTTTAGTATAGACCCTTCAGTTAAATGAAAAAGCATTTTATGAGTTGTAATGGCAAAATGTTAACTTTGTGAGAAAAGACATTGGGAATGCAAAATTGTACTTGCCATGTATTGGATCCAAAACACTGTTCTTAAATGAGCGTTCTTCAGCTCTGCGAAAATCATGTTCTCGATCTTGCTCTTCTTTTGAAACCATCAACACTGTACTTTCACGCTGCATAAGGTCAAAGGTTATTTGGGCTCCACTCAGAAGTATGAATGTGGCTTTGTCTAATATAATTGGTTAATGATTGTAGTAATGGTGATCTTACGCTATCTTTTGGAGTTGAAGCTTGTGGTTCATTTTGGCTTTGGCATTCATCTTCTACAAGACTCTGCAAATTTGAATTTCGCTCCGCTTCTTTCTGCAGATCTTGTGCCACGCTTGATGATTGTAGGCTTTCTACTGACTTTTTGGACCTAATTATCTGTGCATCTACTTCTTTGAACCTGTTGGCTTTCATTTGATCTGTTTCTCTTGAGATAGCAAGTTTCTCCTGCCTTGTCTGTTTCCTCCCTTGCAAAATGGAACTCTGATGCTTCCGCGTCCTTGGCAAGTTATAAACACTTGCACCTTTTTTAGTCATTAATTCGTTGATCATTTGAGGGACCTCAAGTTCAATCCCTTTTGAGCTTCTTACCCGTATTGTTGTTTGAACTTGAACAGGTTTCTCATCCACAGCAAACAGGATGTGAGCTTTTGCTGATTCAGATTCTAGATCTCCATGAGAGTAATGCTGACTGGAGTTTCTGTTTAATGAATCTTTAGTTTTGAAATTTAAGTTTGTTGAACTCCTATCCCTAGTTGGATTTTCATGGTGCCTACCATCTTGCAATCCATTGAATTGTGTTGCATCAATATGATTGGTAGAGCCTTTCCTACTAGCTGCTGCTTGGTTCTTTTGCGGCTGCTTCTTTTGCAAATTGGTTGCACTGGACATTGGTTTGGAGAAATTACTGGATATTGGTTCATTACCCTTAGGTTTCTTCCCTGAAATTTCTGTTTAGTACTTTGTTGTTCCCTCTCTCCTGATTGTCGCTTTTTATCTAGAAGCTCAGGTTTTTGGATCATGTGCACCTGTTGAAATCCATGATTATTTTGAAGCTTTTGTTCATTGTCTATGAGAAGCTTGTTAACATATCTGTTTTCCCCATGCAGCATACTTTCACTGCACTCTGGCTTTTCTTGCAATGTAAGTGCAGCTTCTGATCTTTTATGCATATATGGTATCATCTGCTGTATCATCTCCTCGAAAATTGGTTCCTTGATTTCACTTCTTTCAGCGCTTTCTGTTCCCTGTGCTTTATACTATCCTGTTTTCTCCCCTTTTCCTGAATATCTTTTATACTTTCGGAGTTGTGATTTAATTGGGCGATGTCATTTTGTTGTTTGTCTATCTTAATGGCAGCCTTTCTCGAGCTTGTTGCTAGTTTTATGTCTTCCAAGCCCTTTTGAGGTGGTAATTTGTCATGAATAGATATCCTTGTGCTACCATTTCTATTTGTCAAAGTTTTTCCTGCTTTTGATATAACTGTATCCTGAATCAATGGAATATTTCTGGCTAGTGTTGCCTTCTTTTTTACTGGTGGGAGAACGAGGGTTGCAGAATCTTTTGTCCTTTGTTCAGCCTTCTTGGTGCTTTCCCGAGCAGGTTTCTTTGTAATTATCCCTTCTACTTTTTGCTTTCCAGACTCCTTTGTGGTGACCTTTGAATCTAAATTTCCTGGAAGTTCATTAAACCCCATCAGTTTCGTGATTACATTTGGAATTCTCGACTTTTCTTGTTTAGACTGCAACGAACTTGAGTGATTTTGTTCTGAGAATGCAGTTATAGATTTAATGTCTGGACCATAGCTAACTGATCGCTTGTTAGAATGTGAATTTGAGGCAGCTAGAACTTTCTTCTCATTCTTGGAATTACTAACCTCTGAAGATTAGGTAAGAGCTACCAGCCTCAGCTTGAGATCAGTCCCTGCAACTTCTTGAATGTCATTATAATTTCTTGAGGGTCTGTCAAAAGAAAATCTTGGCCTATCCAATTGCTTCTGATCGGCTATTTTGACAGTGTTCTCATCATCATCTTCATCCTCTTCTGGCAATGTTATCAGACTTTTTCTCTGTGGTGTTATCAAGTGCTCTGAACCTTCCTGCAGGTCTACAAGTATCCTTAGAGACTCCTCCAAATCGATTGCTCCTTTCAACAGTTCCCGTCCAATTTCTATTGAGTATCTGTCAAAGTTGAAGCCATTAGAGCAGCCTCGGAGGATCTGATTTAACTTTTTTGCACCCCTTAATATTTCTTCGATATGGAGATGAGAGAGAGTAGGGAGTTGGCTACTCGAAGGTTGATAACTATTAACAAAATGTTTCTTCTTTCCATCTTCCCGTAGTCCATCTGTCTCCAACCAATGTAGTGCAGAAAACTGAATATTGAACCATCGCCTGAAGAATCTGTTCTTAGGTTTCCTCCTTTTTCAAGTGCAAAAGCCAGGGCCATTGACAGATCTCCTATTTGTTCTGACTTTCTGGCCTTTCCCAAAAGGAAAAAATCTGATTCAATACCTTCCCAGTGGTGACTGATTTCCTGCCTCCACTAGGCCTGTTTTGTGTGGTTCCAGCTCTAAAACCAGTCTGCAGGAAGCCAAGCTTTTTAACCATGTAAAATCATGATATCTAATTAATCTGTTCTATGAACTGATTCTTCTGCTCGAACTTTGGAAACTTACAGTCTGGCGCGCCTTTGGTTTCCTGGATGATTTATAGGTTGTCTTTGAGTAAGCATATGCATCTGCTCAAACACGCAACAAAAGGAACAGAGCAAATTATGCATTTCAGTTGCTTGTTGACACGGTTTTGCTAGCTAGTTAAAGCTCTATTGTCACAAGTCTACCTTACACAGGGTTCAATCACTTAACACCCCCAAACTGATGAAAGTTCTTAGTAAGCATATTTAAAAGAACATCAATATTTTAACTTCGGAGTTCGGATATCATCTTTCTATGCCTTACCTCCCTTGCCCCATTCATTTTAAGCAAACGTAAACTAATTCAGAAATTCTTTCCTTTCTGTTCTTATATGAAGTAAACAGTTCTCTCATCTTTTAAGTTTTACTTTTACGTGCAATACATAGTTGGAGATGATTAGTCTGGAAGAGGGTAGCAGAGCGGAGCATACATGCTGTGTAACCTATACCAGACAAATCTAGATTGCCTTTAGAAGAAAAGTTCAAAAGATTCTACACTCTCTTAGCTTCTTCAATCAACGTCTCCAAGAGCAAAGAATTATTTCTTAATCACGTGGCTGGTTTTGTCAGGTAAGAGAATAGAATTAATAATTGTTATGTATTTCCTGAAGGAAAGAAAAGAAAGAATAGCCGTTGGTGCTAAAATGACACATTATGAAGATTTTAAAATTCTTGAAGGATGTTGGAATTGTTTGATGCGTGCTTCACCATCCGTGTTTATTGCAAAGATTTCAGGAAATGCTCACCTGCAACCGTTGGATTCGTACCCTCTGAGTTCTTAGAGGCAGCCATGCGCTCCTTGCTTAACCGGAGGTCGTCTAACAGCTTCTGTGCAAAATCTGATCTCTTGGCCATGTTGGTACTCTCAATTCGAGCAAGGTATCCTTCAACTCTCTTTGAGCCAGAATAAAGATAGAATTTCTTTACATTGTGTTTTGCCCATTACATTTTACAGGTAAGAGGTAGGAACAGGAATGTTTTTGTTTCTTTTTCTAGTTGGGAGGGTTCTTTCCAAGTTGGTTGAGTTGGGAAGTCCAGTCTCATAGCAATAAAATGGAGTCTGAAAATTTATCCTAGATAGGTTGACGTGAATGTTAGCTCTCTTTCTTTCTCTAGAAGGTCTCTGTAACATCACGAGTATCCCTGCTTTGATTCTAATCCAAGCAATGGCAGAAAGTTTCACTCAGGGGGCTTCCATGCCCAGCCTTCTTTACCAGCATCTCTCCTTTCCATTTTTCACTCTCCCCCCTTATTCCCTTAAGTCACCCGATAACTTTGCATCAAACTGAAGGTCCATAAGTAGCATTGCCAATAGGCACATGTCATTATGGGAGGGCATACCCCAGCGTTCAGACAATGATCTGGCGGAGTGACTTAAAATTTTAAAGGAAAAGCAAGGTTCTATCTTTCTTTTCCTCCACCATCTTTGGTGTTTCTTTGGTCTCCGAACGTACAAAGTTGTGAACTCTACATTGAAGTAGTCGATTTGATTAATATTTTATAGTTTAAAGTAAGAGGATAAAATTAAAGATAGATAAGGATGGCAGGCTTTTGAAAGGCGAATCTGAGAAGGGAGAATTAGTGGGAAGCCATGGGAGCAGTCTTTTAGAAGCTTTTAACTGACCCCACCATTACCAAAGAAGCAAAAATTGGGTGGACAAAGGGGTGTCTAGTAATTAATATTAGTGATGAAATAAAACGGGATTGGAAATTTTGGTAAACAAAACTCCATTTTTAGTTAAATATAGGTCGTTTCAAGACTGCAAAAACGAGTATGCGAGTGGGGTTTTTAAACAAACACATGATGTGCCGTGGAACTACTGCTGGCAACTGGAAAAGTATGTGCCAACATTTGATTTTAGTAAAGAAAAAGTAGGATTGCAGAAGGGATTCTGTGTTATTTTGTTCTAGAATTCCTAACGCTTCAGGGTCTGAATTAGGATGTTATCATTTGTTCGATTCCATTTTAAATTCTGTTTCCAAATGAAGCCTCATGATGGGGTGGGTTAGATAAACGATCCTTATATTATAATATGGTTCAGCCCAATTTAGTCTTGGCCCTGTGCCTGGCAGGCCCAACACTCTCTTTTCCCAACCCAAATAGTGAGCCCAAACATGTCAATATCTTTGATGGAGAGCACGTGGCGTTGGTGAAAGTTCTCTGTCAAGGCCCTGCTTCCCAAAATCCCTTCGAAAAAGAATCGCACAAATCCAACCGTTGATCTCATCAACCACAAAACAACTGTAGCCGTTGGATAGTCTAATTCAGCTCCTAAAATATCTGGCATCTCTATAATTTTAAACTCGTGGCGCGCCACATTCTCCAGATCTGCTTTTCTAGCCGTCGCTTCTTTTAACTCTGTCGAAATCTTCAGATCGTTTGATGAACTTCGTTTTCTTTTTAATCATGGGTTTCCCCGTTTGGCTGAAATCCGTGGTTCCTTTACCCCTTTTGCTTCGTCAATTTTTCGCATACTCGATTATAAGAATCGATTTCTTCCCTCAGAGATCTACTGAGGTAAGGCCATTATTAATCTTCTATAATTGATTGCTAGCTTGATTGTTCGGTTCATAGATGTTCTAAGCTAGAATTTTTGCTGTTATCTTCTTTTTGAAGAGATTTGCTGAGTTCAAGTCAATTCCTCGTTGAAAAGTTAATTAGTCATGGTATTGAACTCGGAAATCTGTCTTTGGATCTCTACCCGAGGTATTTAGCTTGAATTGAATCCTTATCTTCTTTGCCTATGTTCTGATTCCTCAATAGCTTATTCTGGTTCCTTTGGCCTGTTTAGGTTTGAAAACATCGTTCAGATCGGTTTTAAGATTTGGGAATTGGCGGACTGATATATGGATCAAATTTTATAAACTGTCACATGTTCCGATCCTTTTGATGCTGCTTGGTTGTTTAACGACGGTTGTGGCGGTAAATGCGTTGGTATTTTGGAGCAAGAATAAAATGCAAAAGGGTTTGAAGGATATTTTTCGAGCTTTTGATTTGTTTGGTGATTTAACTTTGTTCTATTATATGATCTCCTTATTGTAGACTGATTATGCTATATCGATCTCCTTATTGTAGACTGCTGAGCTAGTCATTTTTAGAAGTTGAAAGAATCGAGGGTCAGAAAAAATTGTTGCTGAGAAGACATGAGATGAAAAAATTGTGAGGGAATTGTTTTTGCTGTTATTAGACCTTTGCCATTACAGGTGCGCTTGAATGGCAGGTCAAAAACCCTAATAAAATTTTAATTCTCTTGTTTTTTTAGGGGGGAGATGGCACGGGAGATATGTTTTGTTTTATTTATTTCCCCTGGCTCTCCCCCCTGGGTGTCCTGGCTCCTTTGCCCTTCTCTTATTTTCCTCCTGCATCTCCAACGGCCTATTTGTCAGTTGTTGCTTCATGCAAATCATGCAATACTTCTCCCAGTCAAAGCATGTAAGATATCAAAGCAATCCCATTGATTGACTGAATCAGAGTATAATTCTAGAGTGCATATGGTCTTCTGTGATTGCGATTGCAGCTGATAAGGTATATTCGTTCATCAATTTCAACCTAAAACGTTCAATTCTTCACTTATTTGTTATTCAACTTTGTTATGCCAATATTATGCCTAACTTCCTTTGCCTGGTCTTGTTTTTGTTATAACATTTATTTAATGCCATTTTATATCTCCATGTAACAATTGAGTTTAATCTATTTTATTTTGAGCACACTTAGTATCTCACTGTCACTGTAAAGAGCTTGTAATACATTTCACATGCTCTTATTTATATGACTAGCAATCAAAAGTTCAATAACAGGCCCTGGAATTATGAATTGAAAATTGAAAGTTTGAAAACAATATTGATGTTACTGGGCCTCTGGCTCCTGCCTTTTTATTTGATGTGAGCTTAACTGAATGGTTTTGATTATAACCCATGGATCTTATTCCTATACTATGTAGAGTTTACTGTAATTTGTTTCAAGGGAAGTGGCAATTGGTGTCTAGTAATTTGTCTGGAGGGCTGGGTTGTCTTATATTGTAGCATTTGGTAATAGTATGTACTAAGTCGTCAAATCAGTCAGCTGCTTCATGGATCCAAGTTATGGTATCCTTTACATTTGAGGCTGATGTCAAGATATTACCAATAGCGACTGTGTTTTGATGGTGAAGCAGCTGCAGCTTAGACGTGTTTTTGGAATCTTTCTATTCCCCCGTGGAAGGTGAGCAGATTTTTGCATCTTTACTGCATTTATAAATTATAGTATTTTCCATTTGATGGCATGTCTATTAACTTGTTGGATTTGCCTTGCAGGACTATGTGCTGGACTCTTTCGGAATTCACTCCCTTTGAAAGCTTTAATCAGTCATTTAGCACCTTATGTTGATACTTTGCATTATGGTGCCGTCTTTCTGTTATTGAGTCTGCAACTCTACATGCATATAAAAGCTTTAAGCCATTAGACCTGAATGAGAATTTGAAAAAAGGTTCTTCCAGTATTTATTTTACTTTAGAACCTGACAGACCTGATTATAAAAGTCTGTTTCTGTTTGTGTTTCGGTTAAAATGCTACATTTGGTAAGGACTTTGCATAACATTGCAGACAAATTAACAGAATTCCTGCATAAGGAAGCACTTCTGGCCTTGTGCTACTCAAATAATATAAGCGAAGTTCAATCTAGACACCACTGTGATCAGCTATGACAATTGACAACTTTGTGATGATCTACAAACCTTCTGACCATTATTTGATGCTGTGATTATGTTTCTTTTAATTGAGAGGTGTAGCCGATTTTAAAAAGCTTCTGAAGCATGAGTGTTGTTCTTTAAGTTATCAGTTTAATAATTCTTTGGTTTGCGTCCTCGCTCCTGCCACTTTTTTTTGCCTCCGTTTGCAACTTTCAATTCCCTGCATAATTTATTCTTTCTTTCTTTATGGTTTAGATTGGGTGTTTTCTGGTATCTTTATTATAGTAGCTTTTAAATTGGACCCATGGCCAGATAAAACCCGTTTATGGAGTTTTAAGAAGAATCTTTGCTTGAGAAAAAAAAACTTTGGTGTAAGCCGGTGGGGAGGGATGATTGGGCCTTGTGTAACTTTCACTAGAAACTTATGGGCAACGCTATTTGGGTTTTAGTACATTGTTACTGAAATATTTTTTCAACTTTCAAGTAGAAAACAATAGTGGACGAACGTTATACTCTTTTTATTTTATTTTTTAGTAAGGTTATAAGATCTGGCTTTGGAAATGCTTTCTGGTTCTGATCCTAATTTAATTTTACTTCTGCAATTGCAACTTGATGTGGATTCATAAGCTCAAAACTGGTAGAGCGCTCAGACATTGAGGTTTGGGAGGGTGGTGGTTCGATTCCACCTGGATTCTCTATAGTTCTCAAAATAAATAAAATTGTTAAGTTTATGGGTGAGCATAATTCGGGGGCTGTTTTAAAGCTAGGATCGTGGATCATTTATATTATGATTGGTTTTGAAAACATTGGATCGTGAATAGATCCATCACCTTTTAGGACTGTGGATTACTCGTGTAGGGTGAAATTATACTACACAAACTAGTGGAAATGTAAGAGGGGAAATAGTGAAATGAAATGGATTCGAAGGATTCAATTGTTTGAGAGGCCAGATAAGAAATCTGCTTTTTTCCCCAAAATATTATTGGCCAAGAGCCTAAGACATTGTTAAAACAACTAGAGGAATCGTGTGCTCTTGCCGGGTTTTTTAGCTCATTGCTGCATGTTCGGTCTTGATGATCGTAATAGCTAAGAATACAAATCGAACGCACCTCAAACAAATGCAATATTTTGTGTTAAACTTATAGGCTAAACAAATGCCTATCTTCTAGTTCAACATCGAGTCATTATAAAAAATAACCCTCCACCTGGCTTGGCCTTGGAGCCCGGGGGGTTTCCATGGTATTTTTGCGTTGGTTTTTGGGTTAGATTCACCTTTTTGGTATGGTACATAATGTAAAATATTGTATGTCATTTCAATCAAAATCGAAAGTGGAGCAGCTAATTGACTCCGTAATGTAACGGGCCGCATTCAATCTGCAATGGATTTGTGGGCACTAATTTTAGGCTTTGGTGCACCACAAAAAGTGGCCGAAAAGAAATGTCATAGCCAAGCCACCTTGTACAACCGTCTCTATTACGGAATTATGCCACTTGCATCAGCGGTTCCATCTTCCAATCAAACCTATATTTTCTCAAAAAATTTTTATGGTAGAAATTGATTACACTTGAAATTAATTGTATAATACAATTATGACTCTGAGCTGGAAACAAATATGAACTGTTCTACCAGAGCTGATTGCTCATTAGGTGGCAACCAATGAAGAAAGTCATTGATCAATTCTTAGAAAAGGTTTTGGCAAACAGTAAAGTCAAAAGCTTCATCATTGTTCCCAACCCCCCCCCCCCCCCCAAAAAAAAAAAAATCCATAGCATAAAAAGAAAAAGTGGAAAACAACAGAGGCAATCCAAATATTGGTAAAAACATTAATATAATGTAGAAAAAGTTGCTACAATTCTCAGAGTGCTAGAGAAGTCTATATAAATAATCAAAGATTTCTCCGACAAGAAGGCACTTTTATGTATTTGGAAGAATTTTAAAAGATGAGGTAAAAAAAAAGAATCAAAGAAAGAAAGAAAGCTATATCCACTAAGACCTATTCCATTAGAATGTGTCTAAAAATGTTTTCGCCGTATAAGAAATTCTCTAGAAATCATTGAACTTGAAAAGGCATCAGTCTGGTTTTTGTTAAAAGTTCTCTTTGTGAAAATCGAACTTTGTGGAGGTCTTGTGCGAAAAATCCAAAGCTAGTTGTCTTAGCTCTTTGGTGAGTGCGGGTGCCCCACAGTAGAAAACTCCTGCATCATTGATGGAAAAGTATGGTAAGTAAATGCTGAACCATAGCCGTAGATAGACAAAAGAGGGGTGGGTGAAAGTGAAACTGACCAATTCTAGCGTCAGGATGATGTAGAGCAACATTCTTGTAGACTTGACGCCAATTTGGCCTGGCGAAATGGGATTTGACACGAGTTCCAGAGACGACGTCCACACCGTTTTTGGCATGGTGCAGTGACTGAAGCATTGTGATGAGAGCTGATCTGGCGTCTCCTTCCTCGTACACGCTGGTGCAATAGTTGTGGAGCTCGATCACCCTTTTCTCATCCGTCTCAGCTACTTCGTTCAGTATTCCTTTGAACCACTCGAACGAGCCTTGCTCCCTTGTTACCCAGTAGAAGTAGGCTTTCCTTGTCGTGAACCCTTTATTGTTCTTGTTCTTGTTATTATAATTTCCAATCTCCGAGGCAGATCCTGGAACCAAATCCTCTTCCATTTTCATGTTGTTGATGATGTCCTTGACAATGCTGATTATTGGGGTGGCACCAATTCCAAGCCCCACCAGGAGCACCACATCGTATTTCTTGTAGTCCTGTGCTGGAGCTCCGTATGGGCCGTCGATCAAAATCTTTGGGAAGCTGTACATCAATTAATACAATCGTCAGAAGAAAGCAAAGAAGCAAAACCTATAAAGGTCTACCATTCTATAATGTATAATTCAATGACACATTATTGTTGGTTCCTTCAATAACTTGAATAAGAGGATGAGGAAATCTTACCTAGTGTTGGTTCCTTCTGCCCTGAGCAGTCCGCTCATCCCAGCAGGTGGAGGCTGACAGACCTGTTTGGCATCCGATGCAAACAAAAAACTGGTAAGGCACTTGACTTCAGTTTCAAGTTTTAACTTGGAGGAGGCAAGCAACATTAAACAACCTCAGAGAAAACAGTTTTGATCTGCCTTGTCCAATCACCCAGAGTTCGAATGTGAACGCTAAGGTGGTCATCTCCTGGTGCTGAAGTGATGGAGAATGGATGCCTGCAATTGCCAATGGTTGGTTTGGTTAAATAAAATAACTAGCAGAATTGAAGCAAAGCGTGATTATGAATGAGGACCAAAATCTACATACCACTCAAATGGGGAAACTGCGGAGCAGTTAACAAACATGTATTGCCCACTTTTATATCTGAATCCTTGGGGCTTTGACATGTGCAATGACAATACGTTTCCAGGATATACAGCAACCTTCCATATTTGAAAGAAAAAAAACATATCAGTATGTTTCAAAGAAATGTGAACGCTTTTAGTGCAGTTGGGTGGAATGTAAGATACTTAAAGCATATGATATAGGCTTTTATACCTTGAGAATTTTAACTGCCTTGATACTTGATCTAAATGCTCGAATCAACCTTTCGCAGGCGTAAAGAGTAATAGGCACTGCTAGATACATCCATGTCTGCAATATGGAGATTGACTACTGTCAACGACATTGTACTAATCATACATGCAACGGATTAAGAGAGGGAACAGAAATGAGAAGAAGGATGGATCAAAAGCTTACCGTTTTCTGATACCATTTCTTGGTCAGGTACAGGCAAATACCATGAACAATGAGGACAGTGTACACAATAACAAAAAGGTGATGGGAATACCAAAATGCGTTAAATCCAGTGAGCTTCTTAAGGAACTTGGGAAGGTTCAGCTTGTTGCGCCTGAACCAAGGAGTGGCAAGTGTGAAGGCTATGGACATTAACACCACCATTATAATGCCTGTTACACCTTCTACTCCCTTCAAAAACCACCAGTAGTTTGGAGGTTGCTCCTCCCCAAAGAAAGGTTTCATTGGCTCATATTCTTCTTCAGTGGCATGAAGAAGCCGTGGGAAATCACAGGTTAAATGGGAAACTCCGTGTAGGAGCACCCCAACGGTGATTCCAACAGCGATAACCTGAATATTACATTAGATTAAAAGCACAATCTAATGTCAGACTACGAATCTCAAATTAAATTTTCAGTATTCCAAAAAGTAACAGAAGATTTTTATTAGATAATGTTGAGCATTATGTAGAAGTTGCTTGTTAATAGTATTAATTACCTTATGGAAATTCAAGTTGTCATCAAAAGGAACAACAGCACCCAATTTTGTCTTGTTTCTAAGCCAAGTGATGGTGTTCCGGCACACTGGTAGTAAAATCAAAGCCATGTTGAATTTAAGAGTCTCTGCACCTCCTTTAGCAACGCAAACACAGTAGCCCATCACATGGAACGCGGCCTTGTGCCGGTACTGCACGAACTTATAAGTGAACAAACCACCCACAATGCCAAGCCACAACATCATAACCCAGACCCTTTGCCAGTTATCCATTATAAAGTACCTAGTCTTCTGATACCACCTTTTTAACGGGTTGTTCTCTTGAGTAGGTTTGAGTTTCTGGCTTAACATTTGACTCAGAATACGGCTATCTCCTACCCTGACAGATTGATTTGGAACTTGCAATAGGAGAGTTTCCAGGTTGTAAATCTGTTCAGTGCAAAAAACCAGTAACATTAGGAAATAAAGACAGCATAGGACAAAAGCAAGATAGATTTGTCTTTGGGGTGTGTCTTATTTACCATGATGTATCCAACATTATCTGGATCCAGTTCTTCCATGATTAAAGCAGCATATTCTTCGGCCTGTTTCTGAATGTTAGAAAGTTTATTTGCAGAAGCACTGAGACTGATAATCTACAAAATAAAATTCATATTGTTAGGAAATATTGGGAAAAAAATAAAAATATATTGAAAGTTACGTAATGTAAAGTTGAATGAGGTCGACCATGACCAAGTATGTGGATTCCTACCTCCTTGACTTCTTCTTCTGTGATCCTTCCATCAGCGTCTTTGTCCACCCTGATAATCACAAATTACACTTGGTAAACAGGCACTAAGATAAAAAAAATAATAATGAGATTTTCTTTGGAAACAAGCAAAAGTTAAAGTTTTTTGAATGGAGGAAACTTTACATGTCAAAGAAAGTTTGGAGTCTAGAGTCAAAGCTTTCGTCAGAAATCTGATCCCAGAATCGTTTGAGCTGTGCATTATTGATTGAGTCTCCGGTTACATTATGCCTCCGAGCAAGTGCCTGAAACAGCTCACCGGCAAATTCTTTAGACTGGTTCATTCCTGTATTTGAAAGAAGAATAAAATTTGTAAAGCTTTCGATTTTCTGCACCTTCCACGGTAAGATAAAAAAAAGAAATGTTTTTTGGTTGTTTGGATCATGAAATATGTACCAATGCATTCAGCGAATTGGGAGTGGTGAAGAAGGCCATTAGTAGAGGCAGTTAAATCATTGAATCGCTTCTCGACAGTGGACCATCCATTTCCAGAGGCCCCCGTTTTGGTGGTGATAAACTTGAGTCCTTTCAAGGCATGAGCTGCAGCAGATTTAGTCCTGTCAAATCTCCTGCCTGCATTAGAAGGTCTTCTTGAAAGGGCACGTTTCAGCTCCTGAGAAACCTGCTTAATTTGAGCCGATGTGTTCCTGAACAAAAACGAACGAAAAGAAGCAGACTTGTTCTCCAGAGTTCTCTTAGCTAGGATCGCCAACTCAGGGTCTTCATGACCTCCACCGGCACCATGAACGCTGTGAACCGCAATGGAGTCGTCCCGGACATCCAGGGTGATTTCGACGTAGGCATCATCATCAGCAGCAGCAACAGCGCTGCCTGTGGAGTTAGTCTTGGCTATGGTGATTTCAGGTGGAAGATTGAATCTTGCACTCTTTTTGGAAGCTCTTTTGTTGGAGATAGGGCCACCACCTAAGCCTAATGGTCCACTAAACGCTGCCCTGTCACTTTCTATGCTTTCTGTATCGGAATTGTTCTCCGAATAAGCGCCTCTCCCATTCTCGTTCCTCATTTTTTTTTATTTTTCAGAGTTAGAGATTGGAACGGAAATCACAACAAAGTTTCTATTAATGGAAACAAAAGTAGGATTCTCAACTATGGATTTACAGACAAGGATTCGAACTTGGTTTCACTGCTGTGAATTGATTAACTAATCAAAATTTTGAAAGAAAAAAGCTGGAGATTCTGAAAAGAGAGAAAGAGATGAAGGAAGATTTTGTTAAGGTAATCGACTCATCTCTTTAATGGTTTGTTTTTGAGTAGGCAGAAAAGAGCTTCCTTATATACATAAACAGCTAACAGTAAGAGACGCAAATGAGAAATTCGCAGGAAGCAAGTTCCATGGTGCTGGTCAAACATCCTTTCACACCTGACACTCCCATATTTATTTTTTTTTTTAATTTTATCTGATTATTATCCCAT